TTGAGCAGCGGTCAGTGCAGCCGGCCCAGGTGTAGCACAAACAACGTCACCGGGGACTGCCACCCACACTCTCCACTGTGGAGCTCCGAGAGGGACCTGGCCTGCAGCTTGCACCGTGGCCCCTTCTCGCTCTCCTTCCCAGCTCCCCAGCTCTTCGCCTGATCAAAACTGACAGATGCCAAATTCACCAGATTTACCTGACACCTATTTACAAACACGACAGCTCTTTAACCTTATCAGCTGCTGTGACCTTGACATGCCCTTGTTCACATGTCACTTGGACAGTGAGTCCCTTCCCACCCTACCTTCCTCAGGCCCCATCAGGCCTCTTTCTAGGCTCTGGCTCTTGCCAAGAAGTCCCCAGGAACCAGCTTGATCCTCACTCTGCCCACTAGATCCCGGCTCTCCGTGGTGCTGGGTGCGAGGACCCTGCCCCGCCTGCAGGCCGGGTTTTCCTGCCGTTCCCGCTGGCCCCAGCAGAGGCAGCACACAGACCAGAGGCCCAGCCTGCCTGCAGGGTCAGACCCAGATCCCAACTCCAGCTGCTTGAATCGCCTTTGCTGGTGGCGCAGATTTAGAACCCTCCCCAGCCAAGTGACAAGCCAGGGCCCCACATCACGGCCAGGTCTCAGCAGGCTCCCCACCACCCGGGTTCTTGCCCCAGGTTGTTCAGGATAAAATGTCACAACTAGTCATGCTGACAATGAACCCCTCAGCAAGCCCATTACTGTCCAGAGTGCAGCCACTGGTGACACGCAGAGCCACCACTCTCTCTACCCTGCAGTGGTCTCTTCCTTGGTCACCCCACGTCCACCCAGGCTCCCGACAGGCCACGCATCATGCAGCAGCCAGAGGGATCTTGTTACAATGTAAACCAGGTCACGGCAGCCCCATCTGCAAAGCCACAGAGGTCTGCCTGGCACCGAGTCCCTCTGCTGGTCTCACTGTGTGCTCTGGCCCCTGTCCACCTCTGTGACCTCATCGCAGCCACCCTCCCCTCACTCCCTGTGCTCCACCCTCCAGTCTTCTTTCTGATTCATGAGCTAACTGAGCAGCTCTTTCCTACCTCAGGGCCTTTGCACAGGCTTTCCCCTCTGCAAAGGGCTAGTCCTTGAAATAATTCAGGTCTCAGCTCAAGTCTTTCCTCCTCAAAGATGCCCAGCCATTACCCCGTTGCTGTCTTGGTAGTATCATCACTACCCCACCTTCGTGATTGTTATCTATCCCTGCCCACTGACACATAAACGCCATGAGAGCAGGGTCAGTGTATTGCTCACTGGATCACCAGGGCCTGGACCAGGGCTGGCACATAGTAGGTGCTCAATGCCCAGGTTCCTGGTGAGGTCTGAGAAGACGACAACCTGTTGCCAACCCCACCCAGGAGTGGACTGGGCTGAGCTGGAGCACGCCCTAACCTACAGCCCCAGGCCTGGGCCCTGAGGCCCAGCCTCACTTGCTGGCCCTGTCCATGCACCAGGGCACATCCCCGGGACGTATGCTGCCAGCCCCGGACTGCTACCTCAACTCCCCAACCCAGGGCTCCGTGTACTGAACCGAAAACCTGCAGCTTTAACTGTGCTTGAGTCACAGTTAAGCTTGCCAGGAGCTACACACCTAGGTGCCTCCAAAGCCACCTGTGGCCCCCAGGCAGGCAGCCTGACAGAGCTAGTCAGAGCCCGGAGCTTGAAGCCTGGGTGTGAATCCTGGCTTTGCTGTCCTGTCTGTTACTCTAGGCCAGTGGTCGGCAAACTGCGGCTCGCAAGCCATATGCAGCTCTTTGGCCCCTTGAGTGTGGCTCTTCCACAAAATACCGGCTCTTCCAGTCAGAGAAAGATAAATACCACATGATCTCACTCACTTGTGGAATATAGAGAACAACATAGACTGATGAACAGGGACAGATTCAAAGACAGAGAAACAGCGATGAGACTATCAATCCCCAGAGGGAAAGTAGGGGAGGGTGGGGGTAAGGGGAAGAGATCAACCAAAGGACTTGTATGCATGCATATAAGCCAAACCAATGGACACAGACAACAGGGGGATGAGAGCATGAGTAGGGGGAGGGAAGGCTGGGGGTTAATGGGGGGGATGAGGACACATTTGTAATATCTTAACCAATAAAGAAATTAAAAAAAAAATACCGGCTCTTCCACAAAATACCGACTTCTGCGCATGGGCCACGAAGTTTCAATCGCACTGTACGTGTGCCTGCACGTGGTATTTTGTGGAAGAGCCCCACTCAAGGGGCCAAAGAGCCGAGTGTGGCTTGCGGGCCGCGGTTTGCAGACCAAGGCTCTAGGCAAGTAACTCTCATGTCCTCAGCCCCGGTCTCCTCATCTGTGAAATGGGAGAACGGGGAACAGTCTCCATAAGGAAGTTGTGAGAGTTTCCTGCCTGTCACCCACTCCCTCTGTCTCTGCCTCTGCCTCTGCCTCTGCCTCTGCAACAGCACCAGTGTCTCCTTCACAGAGCCTCCCGGACCTAAGCCAGGAAACGAGAAGCAGCTTTGCTGACAGTTGTGAGGACAGTGCCAGCTGATCCGGCCGAGCACTTGCTCGGAGCCAGGTGCTCCTCGAGGCAGTCTATCTCCCCAGCCCTTCAGTCCTATAGCAACACTTGCAGGAGGGTGTTATTCTATCCCTGTGTGGTGGGGGGAGAGTGAGGCCCGAGAGGCTGAGGAGTCTGCCCAAGGTCAGAGCTAGACGGTGGAGGGCGGGTTTGCACCAGGTGGTCAGGCTGCAGTCAGCCATGCTGGTTTCCGCCAGGGTTGCTGGGCTGGTGGGCTGTAAGCCCAGAGCTGCTGGTGGCATCGCACCACCCGTGAGCTTGTCAGAGAATGAAGGGCACGGAGAAGAGTGCAGAGCCGAGAGCTGCAGAGGGGCAGGTGCCGACACTTTAATCACCTGGATCTGGCTGTGCCTAAGCATCACCCACACATGGACATTTTAGTTACATGGGTTGATATAGACCCGGGATGGGGAACCTTTTTTCTGCCAAGGGCATATTTATAACATCATTCTCGGACCATACAAAATTATCAACTTAAAAATTAGCCTGCTATAGTGGGTCAAACATTTAATTAACTCACCCCTAATGCCTTGGCAGGGCCAGACCAAATGGATGCTCCCACCCCTGATATTTTTTTTTTTTTCTAAATCATCTGCCATCTAAAATGTCTTGTCTTGTTCAGTGTTTCCTCCCAGGTGGGTTCTGGGTTGTGATAGGTGGGTTCTGGGTTGTGATAGGGTGACTCAGAGAATGCCAGAGTGCTGGACTCAACACCCGGAACAGCCACACCCCGAGGGAAGGGAGAGTGTGTACGGCCCAGCTGCCTCGCCCCCGGGGTGGGAGCAGCGGCCGATGTGGGGGCTTGTGCTCAGCCCTGCCCCCAGCTCCCCAGCCAGGGGGCACTCCACCGCCCAGTGAACTTGCTGGTGATGAAGCCAGTTTTGGCTCCTTCCCTTTCCGTCCCCTACCAGGAGCCACCTCCCAAATAAATTACTTGCTCTTGAATCCCCATCTCGGAGTCTGTTTCTGGGGGAATCCAAACCAAGACAATATTTACACAGCATGGAACAGATGCTCACTAAGTCAGTGGGAGCTCTGCTATTCCCCCCCTCCTTCCATCTGCCCTGAGCTGCTGGGAAAAACTCCAAGCTCAGGTCCCAGGCTCAGGTGCACGGCCCACCTCCGGACCATGACTGTGGAGGAGGGGGCTGGTTCCCACCAGGGGGTCCCTGGGTCTGTCCCTGCAGGAAACAGTCCCTCCAGCTCCCTAATAAACATGAATGAAATGCCACAGCCACAGAGGTCAGGGCCCCTCACTCAGCCTGTCTAACTGGGCTGGTTGGCTGGGGCTGGATTGTGCCCAGGGCACCCCAGGGACCCAAATTCCTGACCAGGATGCCTTGAGGTCTTTGTGATCCTTTGGTCATAGAAACCAGAAGCAAGTGCCCCCTCCCCACCACCCAGAGCCACTCCAGCCACTGGATTTGACCCCGGGTACCAGGCTGTGATGATTTCTCTGCAGCCTCAGTGTGTGCAGTCTGCTGGTTAGGGACACAGCAGTGAAGTTACTCCACCAGCGATGGAGGCCTCCACCTGCCACTTTCCAGCTGTGTGAGTCACCTGCCCTGTGCCTCAATTTCGTGTCTGTGAAATGGGGACAATCACAGGACCTACCTTGAAGGCTAGTTACAGGATTGCAATTTACTTATATGATCTGCTTACATAAATTACATATATAATTTACTTGCGACGGTGGCTGGGTCACACACTCAGTATCACCTCTCATTTCATTAGAAGAGCAGCAGACTGACTCTTCACCATAAGCCCCTTTGTACCTTTAGAACTTACTGCCCTTTGCATGTATTTTTACCCACATAAAGTAAGCAAATTAACTGAAAAATAAAATAAATTTTCAATTTCTTGTCATAGAACAAGAAAGTGGGTGTGACTTTTATGTGTTCGCTGGTCTGGGCCTCGGGGAGCCCAGGTATTTGGTCAAACGTTACTCTGGGTGTTTCTGAGAGGATGTTTTTCGATGAGATTAACATTTTAATTGGTAGAATAAAGCAGATGGGCCTTCACGGTGCGGGTGGGCCTCATCCTATCAATTGAAGGCCTGAATAGAACAAAAAGACTGACCCTCCCTGAGGAGAGTCTCCAGCAGACTGCCTCTGACTTCCTCTGCAGCCCGGGTCCTTCCCGCTCCAGGGCCTCTGAACTACAACATTGGTTCTCCCTGCGTCTCCAGCCCCCCAGTCCACCCCGCAGATGTGACTGGCCAGCCCTCACAACTGCATGAGGCAATTCCTTATTCTCCCCCTCCCTCTATAGGTTCTGTTGCTCTGGAGACCTTGACTAATAATACATTTGCAAAAGGTCAGCTCCGACCCTGGCAGAGAGGGTAATGAAGCCAGGCCTCCTGCATCACAGCACCTACTGAGAGTGACCCAGGCCCAGGCCCCGCCCTGCTTGGGGGCCCCGAGAATTCTTACTTGAACATGGCCTCTCCCGGTCTGGGAACACAGTGGGGGGCTGGGGAGTCGGGGTTGGCTCTCGTTTGCTGGGAACGAGGGCCTCAGCATTGTCCTTTCGCTTAGCAGACAAATTCCTCTCCTTTTTATTACCTGTAGGAAAACAATTGTTTAGATGTCAAACACGGCGTGCAAGCAGAGTTGGGACATTCTGCTCAGGCATCTGTTTATTTGTTCGTTCATTTATTCATTCAACCAATATTTACTGAACCCGACCCCCTGCCAGGCACCATGCTAGCTTGGAATCAGAGATGTGGATAACACAGACAATGAAACAAGTTTGCTGAGACCACCATGCATTTTGGCAAATAAATGAAATATTCTAGGACACACACAGGCTCTCAAATTTTAGCATTTACAAGTAGGTGTTGGGTTTAACTGGCAGCATGGTAGGTAAAATAATGGTGCAACCGAGGCCCCCAGAGCTGAAAGAATGCAGCAAAGCACACATCACAGCCTGCGAAGGAAGGATGGCTGGATGGAGCAGCGAGCAGGGCCGGGCGGAGGGCTCTGGGACCAGGGCAGGAGAGCACGCAGCCTGCAGGACGGCAGCCAGGTGTGCAGCAGACAGTGAGGAGGCCCTCCCGGGTGGCTAGGATGTCACCAGGGACACGAAGCTGGGGAGGGAACAGCAAGTGCGAAGGCCTGACAGCTGGAAGGCATGTGGCAGGTGAGCGGCTGGGGCCTGGGCTGGTGAGTGGACAGCGAAGGGCCCATGGGCCATGCTTTAGAGTCAATGTTTCCCAAAGCGGGGCACCTGGACCACTGGTGGGACAGGAGATGATTCCAGATGCCACGTGGACAAACAATGTTTTAAGCAGTTATATGCCTGAATGTGTGTGGAAAAAAATGTAACCAACATATCAACCCTTGATTTCATGAGCATTACTGCTGGAACCATCCTAGAATTATAAAGAAAAGAAAGAGAAAGGGGGGTGGGAAGGAGAGAAGAAAGGTTCTAGTTAAATAACAGCTAACATTAGAACAGTCGGTTTGTGGAGATGGCAAAAAATTGTGAGGAAGGTTTGCAAATGGCTCAAGTTTAGGGAAAAGGGCTCCAGGGCCTCAGAGCCAGCCAAGAGTCGGAGCAGGAGGAGGAGGGCACGCTCAGGACCACCGGGCGGGAGGCAGTGGCTGAACAGCATGAAGCACAGGCAGGGGGAAGAGTTGGCACTGGAGGCGGGACCCCTGGCCTGGAAGGCAGACCTGGAAAGTACCTATTGAATGAGGAGCGATAGGTACCAGCAGAGGAAGTCCTGGGGCTCATGGTGGCCCCAAGGAGAGGGAGTCCCAGGATCAAGGGTCCTGCAGGGTCTTGGGAGCTCAGGGAAGATGTTGGGGACTATGTGGAGTAGGTCAGACTTGCCCTCACCCCTCCCCACTCCCCTCTTGACTTCAGAAGGGCCCGTGTTTCTCTACATTTTTGCAGTAGCTGCTCCCTGTTGGCCTGACATCCAGTGCCCAAGGCAACCCAGTGTGTGGCAACCCACTGTGACCAATGGGGCAAGACAAGGCATGGAGAGGGGCAAATGCCCACAAGACTGGCTCCCCAAGTGCTGAAAACATGCTGGTGACGGTAAGAGCGACAGGCTCTTGAGAGCCCAGGCACCGTTAGGTCCTTGGCACACACATCTCATTGCCCCCCAGCCATCCTAGCAGATAGACCACGGGCAGCATAATGGCCCCCAAAGATGGCCACGTCCAAGCCTGGAACGTGTGAACATGTAAGGTTACGTGGCAAAGGAGAATGAGCCGGGCTAGTCTGCCACGTTAAGATAAGGCGATCATCACGGATTATCCCAGGGGACACACTGTGATCACAGGGGGCCTGGAAGAGGAAGAGGAACAGTTCAGCTTGGGATGAAGAACTTCTGAAGACAGTGGTGATGACTGCACAACAATGTGAGTGCTTAACAGCAAGCTGCTCCTACAAATGATGCAAATGGTAGATTCCATGTTACGTATATTTGACCACCACACACACACACACACACACACACACACACACAGGGGAGGGGCAGCAGAAGAAGAGGTCCAGGGGAGGTGTGACTATGGAAGAAAGGCACAGAGAGGCAATGTTGCTGGCTCTAAAGATGGAGGAAGAGGCCTGAGCCAAGGAAAGCGGTGGCCCGTGAAAGCTGGAAAAGGCCCGAAACAGGTCCTTCCCTGGAGCCCCTGAGGGAACACAGCGCTGTTGACACTGTGATTTTAGCCCAGTGAGACTCGCATCAAATTTCTGACCAACACGACTGTGAGACAGTAAATTTGTGTTGTTTTAAGCCTCCATGTTTATGGCAATTTATTACAGCAGCCATGGGAAACTAATACATACTATTACCGAGCAGGGCTCTGAGGCCAAGCCATTTGTTCAAGGTCAAGCGATGACCCAGCATTGACCCGGACTGTCTGGCTTGGAGCCCTGACCTTAACCACTTTATTCCCTATCTACGGTCCGCCTCCTCTCCACAGACAGTCCTGCAGACACTGTGGCCAGGAGGTCTGCCTTAGCCATCAGAAGTCTAGAAAGGGTATTTCCCAGGCTCCAAGGACCCAGACTCTTGGAAAGGACCTGGGATCACTGCCGGCCTCAACTGTACCACGCTCCCTGGCCCTTCTTCTATTCTGGGCTACACCCGCTCTTCCCTTCCAAGCCTCTGTGCTTGCTGCTCCTTCTGTCCTTGGGTTCACCACGCTCTTCCCTCTCCAAGCCCTCTGTTATGGCTGCTCCCTGCATGGGATGCTGTTCCCATGGCTGCTTCCTCCTCCTCATTCCTGTCCCAGCTGAGACACCCCTCCTCTGGGAAGGCTTCTCTGACCCCCATCCCCAACCAGTGGCCTGTTTTAGCATCTTCACAACTTCAAGGCTCTAAATTCCTAAGCTAACGCAGCCCTCTCCTTTCCCAGTTATCGGAAAATAACTTCTGCCCTTCTCTGTGCTGCTCGCTCACTGCCTCCACTCACAAGGAGGACAAATGGGATGGGAGCAGGGGCAGGAAGCCATCAGGGCTCAGCCCTCCTCCCTCTTCCGGCCGCCCCACCGCTCTCAGGGCACACGGCCTCCTGCCGCCACACTGATGTCGCCATGGTCCAGTCCGCCAACACCTGTGTGGTGGGAGTCTGTCTGCTTCGGGGGCAGTCCCAAATAGCCACCCATCCAGCTCTTATCAGCAGGAAAGGCAATAATTCGCCCTCCTTGTGTCAGAGCCCCGTGCCTCTCTCTCATTTGTCTCACACTCAGAAGGAAAACCAGAGGGTGGGGGACTTACGGGCCCAGCTGTCACTTTGGAGCCATCTGGTTTATTGGTTTAGCCCAGTGATTAAGAGCGCAGGCTCTGGGCTCAGAGTGCGGGAGACTGGATCCCACTCTGCCCCTTCTAGCTGTGACCTTGGAAGCTACGTGACGGCTCTGTGCTTCAGCTTCCCCGTCTGCAAAACAGGTAGTTTCCTCGGGGTTGTGGTGAGGATTAGATGGAGGACTAAATGTACAGCCCCGGGAATAGTGCTTGGTTCATGTTAATAAGAACTCGAGAAATACTGGCGATTGCTATTTCTGTGTTTTCCCTGCTAGGATGAAGAGCTGTAGGAAAAGGGACTGGGCCAGCTGTCCCAGCACCCTGCCTGGGAAAAATGTATGTCCAGTGAATAAATGAATGAATGAATGAATGAACGAACAGCCAGAACAAGCACATCTCTCCAGGTTCTGGTTGACTGGCCTTGAGTAAAAGCTTAGGGCTAGTTCAGACTCCAGCCCCACGTTGGGGTCTGCAGAGACCTGAGAACAGGCCCTGGGCCTCCCTCCTGCTCCTCTCAGGGCATCTGTCTCCTGCTGGGGCTCAGGAAGAGGTGCTGATGAAAGGGGCAGATGGGGTGGCAGGAGGACACAGCAGGCCCCTCTGTGCTCACAGACAGACATCACCATGGTCCATGCAGGGCCTGCCAAGCAATCTCATTGTGAAAACTGTAAACTGTCAAGAAAGTAAAGTTCCCTCTTTGTTCTATCCCCAGGACCCCTCTCACACTGCCTAGGGTCCACCAGCTCTCCCTCTGGGGCTGGTCCTCATACCCGGAAGTGACTCTCATGCCCCCCCCCATTTCCAGGATGGGGGCTTGGTCAGCCTCCTGACAGGTCCCCCCCTCCCCGCCCTCTCCACCTTTCCCCCTCCCCACAGCAACAAACCCAGTGGGGGCACACAGAAGCATCAAGGAGGCTTTAGGTGGGCACAGCGCCTTCATTTGTTTGACAGAGATTTTCTGAGTGCTGGAATGTGCCAGGTGAGGGCTGCAGGCGGGATGCAGTGGAGGGTAAGAGCAGGCCTGTGCCCTAGCAGAGCTCACAGGGCAGGGGAGAAAGACAGCTGGGCCAGCGAGCCCCGCGCCATGATGCTGCTGTGGGAGCAGAGGAGGCACCAAGAGTAGGCCGTGCTGGGAGCGCAAAGAAGGCTTCTCGGAGGAGGCAGCCTCTGAGCTAAGTCTTGAGGGGAAAGCAGGGAGCCCGGTGTCAGGGTTCAGAGTGGAGGAGAGGAAATGTGGTGATTCAGTCCGAGGGAACAGCCCACGAGGGGCCTGCAGGTGAGAGACACATGTCTGAGGGACAAGCGTTCTCTCGGGTGACATCAACCCCTGGGTGTGGCTGCCCGTTACTATGTCCCCCCAAACCTCCTATGTTCAAGTCCTCACACCCAGCACCTCAGAACGTGACTGTGCTTGGAGACGGGGTTTCTGAAGAGGTGATTTAGGTAAAACAAGTCAGTCATGGTGGGCACTAATCCAATGTGACCGGCGTCCTTACAAGAAAAGGAAATTAGGACATAGACACACATAGAGGGACAGCCTTTGAAGACACAGCAAGAAGACAGACGTGTCCAGGCCAAGGGGAGAGGCCTCAGAAGAAACCAACCCTGTCAACACCTGGACTTGTAGCCTCCAGAACTGGGAGAAAATAGGTTCCTACTGCTGTTGAAGCTGCCCCAGCCTCGGCCTATGGTCCCCCGGGACTGTAGTCCCCCGGCCTGTAGTCCCCCCGGCCTGTGGTCCCCCTGGCCTATGGTCCCCCTGGCCTGTGGTCCTCCCTGGCCAGTGGTCTCTCCAGCCTATGGTCTCTCCAACCTGTGGTCCCCCCGGCCTGTGGTCCCCCTTGGCATGTGGTCCCCCTGGCCTGTGGTCCTCCCTGGCCTGTGGTCTCTCCAGCCTATGGTCTCCCTGGCCTGTGGTCCCCTCGCCCTGTGGTCCCCCCTGGTCTGTGGTCTCTCCAGCCTATGGTCTCCCCGGCCTGTGGTCCCCCTGGCCTGTGGTCTGTCACGGCAGCCCGAGTGGACTAATACAGTGGCTGATTCACACATCCCCCATTTCTCTTCCTAGCTTCACTCATGCTGCCTCCCTGGCTGGGCTTGAAATCTGGTTCCTGATAGGGCACCCCAGCAGGAGGAGCAGGAGAGGCCGTCAGCCGAGGTGGAGAACAGGACTGCAGCAGGCAGGCCCGGCCCGTGCCCCACTGCGTTTCACTCTACTTTCCCAGGTCTTGTCTGAAAAGCCTCCTCTGTGGACAGCTGTGGTTTCCGTCTGCCCAGCATGCTCTCCCAGTCTTCAGATCTGCCTGTATTTCCTTTGGAAACTGTTGTCAGTGCATGTGGTTTGGGTGGTGATAACCACACCCATAGCTGGACTGGCCAATCAGAGCCACAGTAACGGGCTCAGAGATGTGACCCACTGTGGGCTTAAAATCCAGGGCTGGGACTTTTGCTGGAGCTTTTAGTAAGAAAAATCCACTTTCTGATGGAGTTGCAAAGCCATCAGAAGCAGTGTCTCAATTCTGTGTCTGTATGCGGAGCGCCTACCTGAGAACTGTACCAAAACAAGACAAAGAGGGCAGAGGTGAGAGGGAGGGAGGGAAGGAGAAGGGAAGGGAATGAACAGAGGAGGGAGAGGCAAAGGAGAGAAGAGAGGGGAGTGGAGAAGAGGGAAGGGAGGAGGAGAGGAGAGAAGAGAAATGAGTCCTGCTAAGCCCTGGACTCCTCAGTTCTCCAAGCCAACACAGTCCCTTTTGCTTAGCCCAGTTGGCATGTAGATGCACACAGCAGCCCCCACACTGCCAGGCATGTACCACCTGGGATTTCAGTGTCATCTGAGGCCTTTGCCTCTTGCAACCAGCAGAGACCTGACTGATACACCTCCCTGGCCTGTGGGACGGTCTATCCAAGCGGAACTCACAGTGTGGCTGGACACTTAAGTCCGACTTTTGGATCCAGAGACACCAAAGACAAGGAAACGCCACACAAGGCAGAGCTCACCTTTGGACGCCGGGTTGAATTCCAGCACCACGAGGGTGTCTGGGCCCCGGGAAGGGTGTCCTGCCGTCTCCTGGTCGTCAGGAACATCCTCCTGCACGGAGCCCCCCCTGGAAAGAGGGGTGCCATGTCTGGGATTGCCCCCCAGGGCCTGGTCCTCAGGCTCGGGCTCAGAGAGCACATCCTCTTCAATGGAGTCATACTCGTCACTGGAACAGTCCTTTTGCTTCCTTTGTAGATTTACACTAAGTTCTAGGCTTTTTCTTAGCTCCTGCCAAAGGTCAAGAAAAGTGAGAAAGGAAATATGTCACTTTGATAAAAATCATCTGAAATAGATTTTTAGAACCAAAGAACTATCCCCGCCAAACTAACATTTACCCAAATCATCTCAACCCATGTGTTGTCATCACTTTGAAGACGAGAAAACAAAAGGCAGGGACACACAAGCAACTCTGAACAGAACAGTGTTTCCAGTATTAACTGTGCTGTTCACATGCCTGGCCTGCCACTAAGAATGTGTGCACATGCACACATGCATGTATGTGTGTGCACACGTGTGTGTACATGTGTGTGAGTGTGAGAGAGAGAGAGAGATGTTTTGGTTTGGGGCTTGTTAGAACAGATTGTGGGGTCCTGCCCACAGTTTCTGCTTCGGTGGGTTCTGGACAGAGCCAAGAATTTGCATTTCTAACAAGGCAGTGCTGGGGCTGCTGGCCCAGGGACCGTATCTGAGTATGAAATCCCAAAGGCTCCAGATGAGCCTGAAATTCCAGATGGTTAATGTCTGGTGCACGGTTGTGGGGGCTGTCCTGTGTACTGGAGGATGTTTAGAAGCACCTAAATGTCACAATATTTAGTACTTAGCTATTACTGCTTGACAATTTTTTAATGTGTTTTGTCTCATAAGATTGCAGATTTACAATTTTAAGGCCAAGAATTAAGACAAGAGTGATAAAAAAAATTATCAACAAAGCCAGGATACTTTTGAAAAAGAATATTACTAATTTTACACTGGGACAAAAAATGTAAAATGCACTATTTGGGCAAACCAGTATGTTTGGTTAGCCTAGCTAGACCACACCTGGAGCCCGCATAGTATCTAACAGATGTGGGAGAAAAGGAAAGGAATCAATAAAGGTTTGGTGGCTAACAGTGGCTGGGGTCAGCTGAATATGACTCCCCAAAGATGTCCAAGTCCCAATCCCTGGCCCCATGGCTCAGTGAGGGCTTCTGGGGAAGTGAGAAGCACTGCGTGGAAAACTGATCGTCTTAGAAAAACAATCCTACACAGACCAGTGACAAACATGCACATTAACGTGCCGCTGGTGAGGAAGGGAGGAGCATGCTATTGGGAGCTAGAGGAGAGGGCATCTGTTATACGGTGGCAGGATCGCAGCGGAATTGTGTCCTACATTATCTGGTAAGTGAAACTCTGTAAATGATGGGCTTGGATATTTAGCTGAAGAGATTTCCAAACCAAGTGTTAAAGCTGCAGTCTGGTTTCTTCTTACTGCATAGGAAAAACTGTGAGAGGAAAGAGATAGTCCGAGGGAACAGTTATTAAGTAGACGGGGATTTGATGATTTGGGTTGCAAAAGACATTAAATTAGGAGATTCCCTGTCAGAAAGCATGCTCTGGAGGGAAAACCAAGGGTGTGACTCAACAACCTTTGGCTAATATTGCAGAGGAACCAAAGTTTAGAGCATTCAATCACACTGAGGGCTCTTTGAAGAGATCAGACATGGGCTTGTGGATCCCCTTAGCTATCTCAGGCGGCGCCAGGAGCAGAGATGGGATTATCCAGGAAAGATCTATGGAGGAACTTGTTGTCTAATGGAATGAATTCTAGAGGCATACTAGGAGACCCACATGGTTTCTGAAAATGTCATCCAGCAGAAACACTGCCAGCTAGAACCGAATGAGAGAGAGAAAGGAGAAAATAAGAGAAGGCTGTCAGACACCCAAAATTCTACAGGCAGGAAACAGGTTGATAACACAACTTCGCTGAAGTACATTTTCCCTTCAGGAAAGAGGAAGGATGACTCCAAGAGTGGAGCCACAGGCCCAGAGCGGGGAGCCCGGAGCCACACAGAATTATTCTTGGGCCTTGAAACCTCATGGAGTTGGCCCAGTGGATTTCAAGACGGCTTGGGTTTGGTGACATCCTTCCTCCTTTCATTTTCTCCCTACTGTGATGGGAATTGCTATAACTGCTCTCCTGTGCCCGATCCACCATTGTATTTAGGAGCAGATAACTGGCTTTCCAGTTTCACAAGAACACAGATGGAGAGGAATTTGGCCCTAATATGGGTTAGACCCAGAATCTCACCCATACCTGATTTGGATGATAAAGAGGAGACTTAGACATATTTTGGACTTGAGTTGATATGGTAATGGGTTGAGACTTCTGGGAAACTTGGGGTGGGATGAATGTATTTTGTATGTAAGATGGAAATAAATCTTTGGGGGCTAGAGGAAAGACGGTTGTAGGCTGAATAAGTGGCCCCCAAATATGTCAACGTTCTAATCCCCGGGACCAGTGAAAACCCCTTTACATGGCAAAAGTGTTATGGCAGAAATAGAATATAATTATAAGAAATATTCATCACACTCTGTTAACCATGATTGTTTTGTTCTGATTAAAGAAGGCACATTCTAACCTGGTTGGGAGTTGCTCACCTGGAAATGCAACCCATCCTCCCCATCTGGGAGCTGCCTATTATCATGGAAAGAACAATCTTGTCCTAGCCAGTTTGGCTCAGTGGATAGAGCCTCAGCCTGCAGACTGAAGGGTCCCCGGTTCCATTCCCGTCAAGGGCACATGCCCAGGTTGTGGGCTCGGTCCCTAGTAAGCTGCAGGAGGCAGCCAACCAATGATTCTCTCTTATCATTGATGTTTCTCTCTCTCCCTTCCTCTCTGAAATCAATAAAATATACTTAAATATATATATATATATATATATATATATATATCTCCTTTATATAAAAAAGAAAGATTAACTGTTGTAGAAACCAGAACCGTCAGCCCTTTGAAGACCCCCAGCCCTTTGCAAATCTCCATCCTGCATTACCTGCAAACTGCCCACTTGGAATACCCTTTTGCCTACTTCCCCATGTGATCTTTGTCCTTCAACCCAATATAAGCAGCTGGCTTATAGGGAGGTGCAGACCAGATTTTTGTGGATGACCTGCTGCTCTCCCAAACCTCCGGCAGTCTTGGAATAAACGTTCATACATGACTCAACCCTGTCTCTGCTGAATTGGCTCAAGTAGTGACAGGCAGCCCGGACCCACTGGTTGTCCGGTTACAAAGGGACTTCGCAGATGTAATTAAATTAAGGATCTTGAGATGGGGGAGATTATCCTGGATTATTCAGACAGGCCTGATGTAATCAGAAGGGTCTTTGCAAAAGGGAGGCAGGAGGATTAGAGTCAGAAAGAGAAGATATAAGGATGGAAGCAGAGGTCAGGGAGGAGGAAAGATGTTACACTGCTGGCTTTGAAGGAGAAAAGGGATTCTCCTCTACAGTTTCCAGAGGAATATAGGTCTGCTGACATCCTTTTATTATTACTACTAGAGGCCCGGTGCACAAAATTCTGCACTCAGAGTGGGGGGTCCCTCAGCCCGGACTGCACCTTGTCGTGGTCCAGGAGCCCTCAGGGGATGTCCGACTGATGGCTTAGGCCCCTTCCCGGCTTCTGGCTGAACAGTGCTCCCCCTGTGGGAGCACACTGACCACCAGGGGATAGCTCCTGCATTGAGCATCTGCCCCCTGGTGGTCAGTGCATGTCATAGTGACTGATTGTTCTGCTGTTCGGTCGATTTGCATATTAGCCTTTTATTATATAGGATAATTATTTTATTGATTTCAGGAAGGAAGGGAGAGGGAGAGAGAGAAACATCAATGGTAAGAGAGAACATTCATCAGCTGCCTCCTGCACGCCCCCTACTGGGGATCAAGCCTGCAACCTGGGCCTGTGCCCTTGACTGGAATCAAACCCGAGACCCTTCAGTCCACATGCTCTATCCACTGAGCCAAACCAGCTAGGGCCTGACCTCTTGATTTTACACCAGTGAGACTGAATTCGGATTTCTGACCTCCAGCACTGTAAGATAAACCACTCAGTTTGTGGTATATTGTAACAACAGCAATAGGAAACGAACAGAGCTGTCTATCTTTTACACCTTCTCCCCCCCATTCTGCCCAATACCAAGTACCATGGTAGTTACTGAGCAAACAGAACGCTGTCTGGCATGTAGTAGGTGCTTGACAAATATTTTCTAAATGATTGTTTTATGTGGGTGACTAGGTAGTGGCCATAAGAAGGGGTGGAGAGCACCCACGTGCCTTGGAGGTGGCATAGTGATGAGACCCTTAACATGTTACTAATCCTCCAACCTGCATTTTACACCCATAAAAATGGGTTAACAAATCCCTGCCTCACAGAATGGTTTAATAAGTAGTGGTCTGAATCGGGGATGACTTTGCCGCCCAGAGGATATGTGGCAATGACCAGAGAAGTTCTGGATCACAACAGGGCAAAGGCAGTGCCAGTGGCATCTAGTAGGTAGAGGCCAGAGATGCTGCTGCACATTCTAGAATGTTCAGGACAGTTGCCCACATGAAGAATTATCTGGCCCAGTGTCTAGTGGTGAGGTTGAAAAGCCATGCGCTAAAGTGAGCACATATTCATCAACGGCATTAAAAAAGATAGTAACAAGGCCTTCTAGCTGAGGGCATTGAGGCGGTCCATGCAACCTTCCTGGAAGCCAGACTGAAGCCGTGGCTCATGTCTGATGGTGGTGGGGAGGTCAAGGGATTTCCTGCTCCTCCACAGGGAAAATGAGTTCCTGGGTGACCTGAAGTTTAACAGCTTCAGTTCTAGGTTGTGCATAGGTGGAGGCAAGGCCAGGTGAGACAGCAGGGGGCAAGCCTCTCTCTGGAGCCCCAAAATGCTTGCCGGTCACTGTGGAACAAAGCAATGAAACAAACGGGCACCAGCTAGCTGGGACGCTCCTCGCTGGGAGACTGCTGTCACTGCCCAGGAAATCCCAGTCACCCCAGGGCCCAGTCATCCTCTCCGATGTCCAAGGCAGAGTGAGCCCCCAGCACCGCCAGCTCCAGGGAGGATTTGGGACATTAGGATTCTCGAACCCATGGCCAGCTGAGCAGGCTCCCTGCAGCCTCTTCATCATCGTCACAATGTTGCAACCCCGCACTTTAAGTGACTGAATTTTTGGAGTCCCCCCCAAACTGGAGAACTGAGGC